AAGGAGAAAATATCTACTTTCCATGTGTAAGCTCCCGATGACGTGCAGAGATCCATTATTCAATATTTTCTTCTTTCCATGTTAGCAGTTGTTACTATAATAAAATTAAAAAAGGTCACGCTGATCCGGTGACCGTTTAAATTTCGAATTCAAAACTACACAGTTCCCGTCACAGTCTGTGACTTTTCTAACAAATAACAGACCAATCAAATTCACCCAGTCTGCTGAAAATGAACCATACCGATCTTTGACTCACACTTGTCATCTGCTTATTGGCAGCCGTGACACCAACTGGAACCCCGACCCCACTCACATTGTCGCCATAAAAGTATGCTGTGGGCCCCACCCTCCGCTCCGAACGAATTCCGAGTCAAATCAACGGCCACGATCTCTCCCCAATTCAAATCCGTAATTTCCCCAACGCCAAATTTATTATTTATTTATTTATTTACTAAATATTATTACAAAATATAATATAACACGAGCGCCATTGCTTTCTTTTTATTTTATCTCTGCTCTTCAATTCAAGATTTCCCCTTGGCGAAATCCAGTGCTAGCTGGTTCGGATTGAGAGTCTTGGAATTGAATTTTGAAGTTCAGTTTGATTTTTGGTCGGACGGAATGTCGACATTGGGTAATCGTCGTTCGTCGTTCTCGTCGTCGACAACTTCGTCTCTGGCTAAGCGACACGCCTCTTCGTCGGAGAATACTGGGATGGCCGCGGCTTCCATGGCCAAGAAGCGAGCGCCTCTCGCCAACATCACCAACCAAAAGAATGGATCGAGAAGCTGCTCGGTTGCGTCCTCTGCTTTGGTGGGTATACTATATTCTTCATCATTTCGTACTTCTATTTTCGATTCTTGAGAAAAAAAATGCAGTATAGAATGGAGACACAAAATGGTATAAAGATGTTCTTTATCTTTAGCAATGTCTACCAGTACCCGTTGAGCGTTTTCTTTAATACAGGGGTTCGGAGGGGTTTTGAGGGTTTTCTGCAGAGTGATCCCAAGAAATTTGAGGGTTTCATCTTTCATGGGAAGGGAAGAAAGGAATTGATGAAAGTAATGCTGTTCTTAGATCATTCTTGGAAATGGAAGAAATGTGTGAAATTTGGTTAAGGAACACTACTTCGCAATCCTCACTGTAATTTGTGAAATTTTCTTTTCATGGGTTTAATTACACTAGAATTTTGATGTTGTCCCATTCACTGGAACTGTAATTTTTCGTCTAATTGTTCTGTCCTGTGCTTGAGATCAGTCCTAGAAGCTAAAAATTGGTTTCAATTTGATATTTGAAGGTAACATATTCTTCAAACAAAGTAACCAAGGCAAAGAAGGCACAACCTCCCAGTGTTAGCAAAACAGGTTTTTCAGGAAATGTTTTGCCCGCATCTGTAAATGTAAAACCCAGTTCAGTTTTTCCTCCCAAGATCACACCTTTGTTAAGAGATGATGAAATCACTACTAGCAGTATTGCTAGCATTCCTGTCCCCCGCAGCATGGATGTTTCTCCAACTAAGTCGGATGGACTATCAGTTTCTTTGGATGAGTCAATGTCCACTTCTGATTCTTTCAAAAGCCCTGAAGTTGAGTATCTCGACAGCAGTGATGTTCCAGCAATTGATTCCATTGAAAGAAAGACATTCAGCAGTCTCTACATTTCAGACCTTGCCGAAACAACTGGTTTGTTATTTACATTTCTCTCTTTTTTTTTTTTCTTCTTTTTTTTTTATGTGTGTTATTAAGTTGAATTTTACTTCATTTTGTTTTGCTTGTTATATAAATTCTGTTTTCTATTGTTGTTGCAGGAAATATCTGCAATAGAGATGCACTTGCAGAGATGGAAGTGGATGATGAAGTTGTTAATCTTGACGATAATTACATTGATCCACAGTTCTGTGCAACATTTGCTTGTGATATTTACAAGCACCTGCGAGCATCAGAGGTTTTCCCTCTTTTTTAATGTGAAAGTGTAATCCCATGTTTTAAAGTCAGAGTCTTTACCTTCTCATTTCTCTTGATTTCAGGTGAAAAAGAGGCCGTCCACAGACTTCATGGAGACAATTCAGAAAGATATAAATACTAACATGCGAGCAATACTGATCGATTGGCTTGTAGAGGTAGTTAATTATGTCTGTAAATACATTATGAATGCCATCAGACTTTGTTGGCAGTATCATCCTTCATGGTTACAATCATTCAAGAAATTAAAGCTGAAATTTTGTTTCAACTGCAGGTGGCTGAAGAATATAGGCTTGTACCAGATACTCTATATCTGACTGTGAATTACATAGATAGGTATCTTTCTGGGAATGTTATGAACAGGCAACGGCTACAGTTGCTTGGAGTTGCCTGCATGATGATTGCTGCGTAAGAATACATCTTTCCCCCACTAATTTTCTGCCTTCATAGGATGTCCAATAGATTTTTCCCATGAATACTGTATTAACTACTAAGTTTACATATTTCCAGAAAATATGAGGAGATTTGTGCACCACAGGTGGAGGAGTTTTGCTACATAACTGACAACACATATTTCAAGGATGAGGTTTGTTTACTCTCAAGTCTCATCCTTCAATTGAAATTCTTAGATGCTGCCATGAATATTACTGCTACTTTACCAACCTGAATGAGCATTAAGCATGTGGTGTACGGCAGGTTCTAGAAATGGAATCAGCTGTTTTGAATTACTTGAAGTTTGAAATGACAGCTCCAACAGCAAAATGCTTCTTAAGGTAATAAAAATGACATTTCTATATTGAATTTGCATTTTTTCCTTTTAAACAATCCATGGTATCCATGTATTCACTTCTGCATTAACATGACATCCAGACGATTTGTTCGTGCTGCTGCTCAGGAGATCAATGAGGTATTTTATCTAGACTTGAGTGTTCATAATGTGGCTCCAATCTGTGTCTTTCGTCTGTGAACTAAAATGCAATTTTCTCATCTCCTTGGGTCCTGTTCTGTCTGCATTTTACTTAGGTTCCATTAATGCAGTTGGAGTGCTTGGCCAACTACATTGCTGAACTGTCTCTCCTTGAGTACAGTATGCTTTGCTATGCTCCATCACTTATTGCAGCTTCTGCAATTTTCTTGGCCAAATTTATACTTCTTCCTTCAAGGAGACCATGGGTACGTTTGTAGATAATGATAACATATATCAGGATTCAGGCAACTGCAGTGTATAAATTCTATTTCTTTATGTTTATCCTGTAATGATATCCAATTTTCTTCTTCTTCAGAATTCAACATTACACCATTACACGCTTTACAAGCCCTCTGATTTGATAGACTGTGTCAAAGATCTTCACCACTTTTGCTGTAACAACCATAATTCTACTTTACCTGCAGTCAGAGAGAAATACAGTCAGCATAAGGTACATTGTTCCATCTCTCCTAACTCTTTCTGTGTCTGTCTCACATGCATGCTCCCTATATAATTACGACTATCATTTCAGCATACAACGTTCGTATCTTTTATTAAAGCGTTAGAGGGGATTGTTTTCTTTGAATCATGATTGCTGCTGTCCTAAATACCAAGTAATAAACAATTTTAGAGGAGTGTTAATATTGTTATGAGCAGCATAGCATCAAACAAGAGTCTGATTATCATGCAAATATTCTAATTTGAGAAAATTATTTTTGCCTCAGTACAAATGTGTTGCGAAGAAATATTGCCCTCCTTCAATACCTATGGAGTTCTTCCACAACCAAATCCACTAGACATCTGTGGCCGTTGTTGCTCCATTGTTCTTGTTGGAGCAACTTGAAGAGTTGTCTGTGTCAATGGCTGCTTTTCCGGCACCAAGCTGAGGAAATTCACACTGTGTTGCTTCTTATGAAAGCAGATAATTACACTCTGTCTGTGTACCACTATCTTGCTGATGGGAATTGGAAAGGTCCATGTTTATGGAATCATGATCTTGAATGATATCAATCCACTTCATTTCCATATGAACCATATAATTTCCGTGTTCTAAAATGTTAATCATGTTTGGAAATTGGGATCAAATCAAAATAAAAATCATTTAAGTTTTAATAAAAGTGTAGAAATGAAAAAACAGTACTCTATTCTTTCGTTTCTTTCTTTTTATAAAATGAAATCCACTAGGCACTTCCCACAAATTACGTCACTCCCTCTTATTTTTATTTACCTGTCACTATAATTAAAAATCATACATATTAACACGACCTTTTTGGGGATTTGATTTGGCCACTGTTAAGACCATCAATATTTAACTTTTTATTTTATTAAATTACTTTTTTAACCATATATTTTCACAAGAAGAAAGCAATCATTTTTTAAATGAACATGGAGCATCCAGTTTTCTCTCTTTTTACTGAAGACTAATCAACTTAGTCTTCTGTTCATTAACGTAATTAAAGTTTAGTCATTAAGATTGCAACTAAATAAATACCCATGGGCCAAAATAAAAAGTATGTAACTAATTTTTTTTTTTTGTACATCTGAATAAACTATATAATAGAGGATAGTTCTTCGTTTTCTTTAAATCTTTTTTTGTCTGACTCAAAATTTGAACTTTAAAATCTCTAATTTGAAATATCAAATTCTTAATCATTTACTCATCTTATTGTGGTTAAAATATGTAACTAAATACATTTAGGATGATGTTCATTGTTCTTGTAAGAAGAATATCACCAATTAAAGCATAAAAGCTTTACACTAATGTAACAACATGGGTAAAATTGAAAACAATATTAATCTAGTTAAAGATAACAAAAGACATTAAGAAATTCTGAGTTATATAAAATAATTTAAACTATATATTAAAAATA